TAAATTAACATCATCAAGTATCTATATCACTAAAAGGTCATCTAGAGAATGAAATTTCATTCCAAATGATTGATAGCATCGTAATTAGAAAAAAAATGGAATTACCCCTATTTCTTCAATCCATGTCAACGTTTGAACAGTCAATCTTCGCAAATCCAAGCTTTGTGGTCACGGTTTGCCTTTGATTATGATGGAGTTTGGATTTAGAGGGTAGGGGTCTCTGCAATATCGCTTTCAAGGGAACGATTTGGGGATAGCGTTCACGGTTGAGAGAGAGGAGTGTCTGGGTTTTTGTTTATGATTACACGACTTCAATCTAATTTTTGACTAAGGCGAGTTTGGGAGTTGGGTTGGGATAATGACATGGCATTTAACTGCCCAATGTAAAAATTCCGTCCCCCACATAAGTAGTGTTTATTAACGGAATGAAGTTGGTGAGTGATGGAGTGCAACGGTGTAAAGTTTGTTGAGTAATAGGGTGCAACTTAAAGTATAATGAGTAAAATGTAACAGTATCCGAAGTTCGGTAAGTATTGAAACAATTAACTCGTGATTTTTCCTCAATTATTTTATTATTTCAATCGTCATATTTGACTTCTTCTCTTATAAGTGGGCCTCACTTTTCTCCTAATGGTAAAAAAATCAATTCTCAAAATCAACAAATAGGCTCTTAATTTAGCGTGTCATAAACACCAAATTGCGTTAATTATTCCAATGGTCACTGAACGCAAGTCCATGTCTCTAATTGATCACTGAAATATAAAATATCAAATTTTTATTACTAAACTTAATTCATGTCTTCGATTGTTCACTAAAATTTAAAATGTCGAGCACGATAGCCTACTAACTAAGGAAGCTCCATATTCTATTTAAACTGGCAAGGCTTGAGTTTGACATTGGTCGCCTTCTCAAACATGTAGTAATTGGTCTTTTGGTCACTGAACTTTGAAAAATATTGTACATTATTCATTGAACTTTGAAAAATAATGTACATTATTCACTGGACTTTGAAAAATAATATACATTACTCACTGTAAATTCGATATTTTTCAAAATTCAACAGTTATGCTAATGAGTAACGTACGACATATTTCAAAATTCAATAGTCAAAACTCAACACTTTAAATTTTAGTGAGCAATCGAAAACATTGACCTAAATTTAGTGATCAAAACTCGACATTTTAATCTTCAGTGACAAATCAAAGGCATGTATCTAAGTTCAATGACCATTGGAACATTTAACTCCACTAAATTTTATTTTATTTCATCATGTACATTTATCTTTATATTTAGTATTATCATGATAACTCAATTTGATTTTATTCACCATGATCATTCAATTTCATATAATATTTCATCATAACCATCCAACATCTTTTTACTATTTTAATTAATTTTAAAAGAGGTAAAATGGTAATTTTGAATTATATTTATAAAATAATTTTTTTTAAATTTTAAATAAGTTTTTATTTTATCTTCTAAGTGACTTTTTTTAAATAAGTTTTTATTTGAATTCATTTTCTTAAGGAATTTTTTTTTTTATATAACATCTCTAGGTAAAGTTTTTTCTAAATAAGTTTTTTATTTTATTTTTAAAGAGTTTATTTTAAAATAAGTTCTTTTTTTTTTTAAGAAGCGTTTTTTAAATAAGTTTTTGTTTTATTTTATTTTTTTAAAATAAGTTCTTATTTTATTTTTAATTTATTTTTTTATACATATAATGCAAGTTTATCGTTTTACCCTTTTAAAATTAATGAAATGGTGAAAAATGTTAGATGATCATGATGAAATATGAAACTAAGTAGCAATGGTGAAACGTGATATGAAAATTGGGTGATCATGGTGAAATAAAATCAACTTAAATGGTCATGATAACATTAATTATCAAGTTGGTTGCCATTGTGAAATAAAAGCAAATTGAGTGATTATGATGACACTAAGTATAAAGTTAGGTGGCCATTGATAAATTTAACCCTCTTCAAACAATTTTTATGTCTCAACCATTCACCAAGAGGGCAAATTTCATATTTCCTCCCCAAGAGGCAGCAGCACTTATTTCTCCGCTGCTATATTAAGATGATCTATAGCATCATAGATAGAGACAGAGGCTGCTTTCCTTCACGTAGTTCCTTATTAGCTTAGCTTATTAGGTAGCCTTTGTTGACAACCCATCTATCTATTTTCTTTACGGGATCGTCATGTGGGGGTAAGATTGTGACTTGAGTGAATAGAAATTGGATTCCTCGATATTTGCTCAATGGATACAATCTGCTCATGGGCAAACTTTATATGGATTTGATGTAGTTTTATCTTCAATGAGTAGTCCGATACTTTCAAACACTTCTAAGATATGCCCTTTCGAACCTTTTCTATTGGCACCATCCATCCCTACCGTTCCAAAAAAGGTAGAGTTTGTCCATATTCCATCGAGTTAATTGTTTGAAATATCACATTTCACACATTGTACTTCAACTTGCACAACATTACTCACTAAATTTTACAAAGTTGCACTTCATTACTCATTGAGAAACTTCTTTTTATAACTATTGCCTATGTGGATAACAAATTTTACATCTGTTAAATATTTCTAACTCAAAAATTAAATGGCAACTCATAACTCCTGAATACGCCTCAATCATCTTAATTCAAATCCTGTTATGAACATTACAAATCCTCTTTGAGCCTAAATCCCCAAATCGTGATATTCTTTTTCGATACGGGCTCCTTTGATTTCTGTTGTGTTAAGAGTCTGCATGCATTGTGAGGCTTGTACTCAAGAAATCATGTTCGAATTGTGCACGTGTGTGTAGCGTGCTCCCAAAATTTGACTTAAAGTTGCATTTTATAAATGCAACTCTATTAATGGAAGCGTTGCATGAGATCTTGACATTCTGAAATGCAACTCAATTAATGGAAGCGTAAAATGCAACTCTATTAATGGAAGCGTTGCATGAGATCTTGACATTCTGAAATGCAACTCTATTAATGGAAGCGTTGCATGAGATCTTGACATTCTGGAGCCTTCCAAGGCTCTGATTGAATGCCGTTTCACTTGGCATTCATTCCGACTTCTAGCTATTGTTTTTCTAGAGAGAGATACTCTTGTTTTGGCTTGGGTTTCATTCTGTATAGTCTTCTCTCCTGAAAAATCTCATTTGAGACTGAGATCAATATTTTACTCCCTCTGATTCTTGTATTTTCTAAGTGGAAATCTGTAAGAACGGTTGGGCTCTTATGCTGTGATATTCAGAGGGATAGTTTTTTGTGATTCCTGAGTAGATCCGGTGTTTCCTTGGTGAGAAGATAAG